ATTACATGTAATCTTGAATTTTAAGTAATATGCATCAATAAACAGTACTTCATGTATAAAAAATGGTTTTTAAGAATTTCTGTCAAATGTTTTATAATATAGTATATATAAAAAAATAATATAAAAAATGATTTCTTTGTGTTTTTAAAAAATGGTTTCATCTTTTATTCTACGGTCATTGATGTATGGTTTTTGCCGTGATCTGATTTAATGTACATAAATTGTATTTCTATTTGATTAATAGTTATAAATTATTTTTTATACATGAAATACTGTTTATTAATGTATATTACTTTAAATTCAAGATTACAAGAAAATAATGCACATGTACAACTTATTAAAGCTTTTATGCTTGAATTCATGTAACTAACTGCAGATAAACATAATCAAATCCAAGATAAATATTTCATTTTAAATATAAAAAATATAAAATATAATTAGGATAATAATCGTGTTTTAACATAATACTTAATTTATTATTTTTATAAAAAATATATTATTAAATCAAAAATAAATTACTTCGTCATTAAACCTAAATTAATTTATAATAAAAAAATTGAACTAAATAAATTACACAACAAAACAAGAACTTTTAAATAGTTAATTTGATACCAATATTTATATTTTTTTCCCAAAGTTTTATGATATGTTCAAATCTATATTTTTATTCAAAAAATAAAAACATTATCATTTTTCTCAAAACCACATAAAACCGTATTATAACATCGACAGGTAACGAAATAAAATAAAACACCGAAATCGATATGTATCTCGATGCATTGCGTGAATACCCTTGTAGTCTTAACCTAAACGTTGTCTATTATATTTGGTTGTGATGCATGCGTGCATGCAGTCGAGGACACTTTGGGGTAATAAACACCCATCCAAACAACAACAACAACAACAACAAGAAACAGACAGTATAAGCCAACGTTGATAGCACGTCTAATTTCACAATAAAACAGTTATGTTTCCAAACAGATTTGTTCATCAGTAATGAGGACACACATCAATAGGAATACATGCTAATAGTCACCAGCCCGTGTGATAACGACATGTAAGGCAATTCAAGCTACATGTGCTTGATTGATCTGATTGTTTAACGAATCTTTTCAAAAAGACGAAAACGTATGTAGAAAACATTCGATGAGAAAGTGTTACAGGCTGGTGATCAACGTAACAGTAATCTCGATTTGGAATTAAAGAATAAATGGAAAATGGAATAAAAAAAAAGAGAAATAATATTGTGAATGGATAAGGAATATGGGGATTTGTCTTGGATGCCATTTTATAATGATGGCTACACCATCCAAATGGTGGGTCTTTGTCTTAATCAACCATAACCTTTGACTTAATTTAATATATATATATATATATATATATATATATATACTATATTATAAAGTATTTGACAAAAAAAATTAAAAACTATTTTTTATGCATGAAGGACTGTTTATTGATGTACATTACTTAAAATTTAAGATTACACGGATTTTGTGCAAATACAACTTATTAAAGCTTCATATTTGAATTCGTGTAACTAACTGCGGATAAAAATAATCAAATACAGGATAAACATCCATTTTAAATATATAAAATAAAAAATATAATTAAGATAATTATTGAGTTATAACAAAATGTTTAATTATTATCTTTATAAAAAATTATATTATTAAACCAAAAATAAATTACTTTGTTGTTAAATATAAATTGAATTAAAGAACTTATACCAAATAAACGAGAAGTATCAAATAGTAAATTTGATAATAATATCGATTTAATTTTTTCAAAATTTTATGCCATCTTTATATTATATTTAATTCAACAATAAAAACATTATTGATTTTTTGAAATCACATAAAATCGTATTATATCGATAGAGATAACAAATAAAAACTAAATATTAAAATCGAGATTTATCTCGCTGCATGCCTGCATTGCGCGAGTACCCTTGTAGTCTATACTATATTATAAAGCATTTGACAAATTTGACAAAAACTCTTAAAAGTCATCTTTTATATATGGAATATTGCCTATTGATCCATATTACTTAAATTTCAAGAGTTCAAGTAAATTATGCATAAGTACAACTTATTAAAACTCCGTGTTTGAATTCGTGTAACTAATTGCGGATAAACATAAGGAAATACAGGATAAACATATCATTTTAAATATAAAAAATCTAAAATATAATTAGGATAGTAATTAAGTTATAATAAAATACTTAATTATTATTTTTATAAAATATTATATTATTAAACCAAAAATAAATTATTTCGTTATTAAATTTAAATTATAATATAATAAGAATAATTAAATTACAATAAAAAAATTAAATTAAAGAAATTATATAAAAAATGAGAACTTTTAAATAATTAATTTGATACTAACATTGATATATTTTTTTTCCAAATTTTTATGATTCGCTTTCTTAAAAAACACATAAAACCATAATATAACATCGATAGAGACAAATAATAAAATAAAACATTAAAATTGAGACGTATATCGCTATATTTAGCAAGTATTCATCTAGTTATATCATAAAATATTTGACAAAAACTCTTGGAAACTATTTTTTATGTATGAATTACTGTTCATTAATACGTATTACTTAAAATTCAAGATTATAAATAAACTGTGTGTAAATGCAACTTATTAATATTTGAACTTATGTAACTAACTCCAAATAAACATAATCAAATATAAGATAAATATTTTATTTTAAATATAAAAAATTTAAAATACAACTAAAATAATTAATGAATTCTAACTGAATATTTAATTAAAAACATAATATATAAAGCAGAGATTTTGGGGTCCACAAATCATGAAGACTTTGACTTGAAAGTTAAAACCATCACCAATGTTCCCGAATTTAAGATGAGTTGTGGGGGTGCTGCTCCTTTGCGTCATATTTACGCCTCATTTTTCAATATTCCATTATTTATTAAAAATTATTTCAAAATAAATAAAAAGTAATAACAGAGTAATTTACATTTTTGGTCCTTGAACTATATTGATTTTAACATAATTCGTCAATTTAAGCCAAACATGCAATAACCACAAAATTTGAATAACAAACGAATAATATAAAACTAGAAGGGTATTCATACAATGTAGCGATATATATCTCGATTTTATTGCATCATTTTATTCTTTGTTTATTGATATAATATAATTTTATATGATTTTAAGAAAGTGATAATGTTTTTATTTTTGAATAAAATATAAATTTAAAGATATTGTAATTAAAATTTTGAAAAAGAAATACCGATATTAGTATCTAATTAACTATTTAAAAGTTTTCGTTTTTTGTGTAATTTATTTGATTCAATTTTTTTATTATAATTTAATTTAGGTATAATAACGAATCAATTTATATTTGGTTTAATAATATAATTTTTTATAAAGATAATAATTAAGTATTCTATTAGAACTCAATGATTATCCTAATTATATTTTAAATATTTTTATATTTAAAATGTGATGTTTATCTTGTATATGATCATGTTTATTTGCGGTTAGTCACACGAATTTAAAAATGGAGGTTTAATAAATTGTATTTATGCACAATTCACTTGTAATCCTGAATTTTAAGTAATATGCATCAATAAACAATACTTCATGCATAAAAAATGGGTTTTTAATAGTTTTTGTCAAATGCTTTATAATAGGGAAAATTGCACCAAAATGAAATCAACTTTCACCTAATTCCTATTTTGGGGAACCAACTTTCAAAATCGTCATTTTGGGGAASCAACTTGCATCTGATTCCTATTTTGGGGAACTAACTTTCAAAATCGTAATTTTGGGGAATCAACTTACACCTGATTCCTATTTTGGGGAACCAACTTGCAAAATAATTATAAAAAAATAACTAAAATTCATTTTTTTCCAAAAATTAATGCAATAAAATCTATTTTTTTATTTCAAATCTCGTTTTTTTTAATTCAGATATTATTTTGGAAATTGGTTCCCCAAAATAGGAATCAGGTGCAAGTTGTTTCCCAAAATGACGATTTTAAAAGTTGGTTCCCCAAAATAAGAATTAGGTGCAAGTTGGTTCTTTAAAATAACAATTTTGAAAGTTGGTTCCCTAAAATAAGAATTTGGTGAAAGTTAGTTCCATTTTAGTGCAATTTTCCTTTTATAATATAGTATAAATATAATTACTTAAAAGGAAATTATAAAAATATATAAAAAGCACAAAATACTTTTTATTTAACAAACGTATTTTTAATGAGGTTAGTGTCAGCGATTATTTTCAAAGTAAAATGCAAACTATAAGGATGAATTCTAAATTTATTAAAAGTCAGGTACTACTTTTAGAAATTTCACTAAACTTTAAGGTCTAAAACTGTATTTTACTCATCAAAGTATATCTAAATAGTAAATAGAGTAAATCGTAATTTTGGTCATCATGATTGTTAAAAAATTCTTGACGTTTTTCATCCTTGCATCTTTGTAATTATAAGATGATCATCGTAATTTGTAAAAAAGTTTGAATTTGGTCCTTTTCATTAACGATTGTTAAAAAGTTTCGTTAAATAAGGACATTTTTGTTCTTTTATCAATTTTTTTGTATTTTACCTGATCAAAAACCTCAATGACCAACATCAGTAATCGATTCAGATTGGATAATAGACAAAAATGACAAAAACACCCCTTATTTAATGGAAATTTTTAACATCCATTAGAAGGAGGGACCAAATCTATACGATTTTCAAAAACCATGATGGCTATTTTGTGATTTTGAAATTGCAAGAACGAAAAGTGTGATTTTTAACAAACTATGGGGACTAAATTTGTAATTTGATTAAACTATAAGGACAAAAATTATAGTTTCCTCTTTAAAGTATATCTAAATAGTAAATATCAATTAAAATTTAAAAAGATTTTCTTTCCTTAACCTGAAGGGTAAAGTCCAGAAAGCACCATGTAACCCGACCCGAATACCGATACACCCACCGCCATTGAAGTAACCCGGTGCTTTCATTATATAAACCCCCCTTACCCTCGTCTTATTTTCTCGTCATCTATACTTCGATTCGATCTGTCTTCTTTCTTGGGGTTGAAGGAGTTTGGCGATTTTAGGTAAGCTTTTCTTATGTATTTTTGCTTGCGGATTAATTGTTGAGTTCTTTATTTGTTGAATTTTGTTATGATCCAAGAGAAATACTCATCGATCGGTTGTTGATTTGTTCGATTGAATTATTGATTTGATCGGTTATGATTGTTTATTTGACCACCTGATCTGTTGATTTGTTCATGGAAGCTGATTATAATCTGTTATCAGCGTTTCGTTTGCTTATGATTGTGTCGATCCTTGATTTCTTTTGAAAATTTTAGGAGGTAAAAGGAGAATCGGTCGATTGTTATCATGAATTTATTGTTTTTGAAGGAATTTTGATTATTGTCTCGATTTCATCTTCGATTTCAATTATTCTAGGGTTAGTGTTTCACCGATTCCGACTATTTGTGTAGAATTCATCCTGGTGATCGTTTGTTCTAGTGATTTTTAGAACAAAATACGTTGATCTATTTTCAATAAGCAAAAAGGAACAAAAAATACTCAGGATCTCGATATAAATCCCTCTTTTTCCGATCAGAAGTGTTCTCTTCAATCGTTTGATTTCGATATTTGTTGACGATGATCGAGATCGAGGTGATAGCGAATGCTCTTCAGAAACAATGAATTTATGACGACAGACTATCGATTCTTCTCTAACTTCCTAAAGTATCCAAACAATAAGCAGACTAAACCCTAAAAAAGGATTATCGTCAGCTTCCGTTGATAAATCAACAGATCAGGAATTAGGGTTGGGGTTTCGTTTCCTTATGGTTCTTTAGGAAGTTAAAGAAGAATCAGTCTTTTGTTATCATTAAATCATTGATCCTTCAGTTATGTTCTTGATCTGGATCATGTTGATATCAACTAGTGGGGAAAAATCTATGTTTAATTCGATTTCTTGATAGAATTCAACCTGGTGATCGATTGTGCTATCGGTTTCTTCAAACATGAATATGTTGGTCGATTTTCAGTAAGCAAAAAGGAACAAGAAATCCTCGGGATCTCGATATAGATCCCTCTTTTTTCCCATCAATTTGTGTTTAATTTGATTTTGTGACGGAATTCATCTGGGAGATGGTTTGATTCGATCTTGATTCATATCTAACGATGGGTGTTTCTTTCTGAACAGCAACTTATCTTTCATTCAAACAAAGTTCATGGTTGATATAGAAGTTCAGATCCCATCTGCTTTCGATCCATTTTCCGACGTCGATCAAGATTCCGGTGGTGGTGCTGGTGTTAAAGAGTATGTTCATATCCGTATACAACAAAGAAATGGTCGGAAAAGCTTGACGACGGTTCAGGGTCTGAAAAAAGAGCTCAGTTACGAGAAAATCCTCAAAGATCTGAAGAAAGAATTCTGCTGCAATGGCACAGTTGTTCAGGATAAAGAACTCGGCAAAGTGATCCAGTTACAAGGCGATCAGCGTAAGAACGTATCTGCGTTCTTGACCCGAGCTGCAATCGTGAAGAAGGATCAGATCAAGATTCATGGTTTTTGAAACGGTTGCGATTATTATATAACGTTGTGTCGGTGTGTTCTCCGGTTGATTTCAGTTTTCATGTTTAGTGTGGTTTCTACGTATGTGTAACTGGATGGTGTTTACGCGTTTGGTTGATTATGATGAAATAAAAATGCTTAGTATTGATTTACGTTGCTATCTTTTTGGTTAACTCAAGTCCTGCCCTCTTTCTATGATTCGGTAGCTAAACATTTACGTAATATTCTTGATCCTGGAAGAAACCGGTCTCGGGTCAGAATAGTGAGGTTCATAACCCGTCCTGGTTCTCGTTTCGGTCATCAAACTCGAGCCCATTTAACTTGATCCATAATTGATTATGGGCAACCGGTCTCTATATTTTTTTTAATTTTTTTCAAGGATAGATTTTCTAAATACATTATAAAATTTGTAACTGGGTTTTAAAAATACGTTTTATTATAATTAAAATTACATTACAAACGAAAACTTGAGCAACTTGTTTGTTTGATGCATTATGTTGTTCACGGCTATTTTGGAAGACAGAGAGATGAAAATTGTGAAGTGGAAGCGAGAAATGAATACGAGCCGAAATCGTAAAATATAGCGAGAAACCAAGAATTATGAACGTTTTTTTTGCATTTTGTAAGTTGGTATTTTACACCATATTCCATGACACTAATTTATATTGTTTAGAAGGCCCAAAAGACAAAAAACGGTCATAATGGTAAAAAAAAAGCCTTCCTTTTTAACTCATTGGGTCGGCCAAAAACATAACTGGTCTGGGGCCGGTTTGTCCATCACTTAGATGACCAGAACAAAAAGACAAACATTCAGATTCCAAGAGCCACATGGACCTCACAATTACACATTTTGGATCAAAAAATAAACCCAAAAACTGCAAATATATAATAAATAAAAAAAAATTGGGATCTCATGATTCAAGTAACATTGTACATATGTTGTCTACACTTTACACAAGAAATATTAGCAATCTCATCTCAGACCTAACAAACGAAGCTTAATGATGATCAAACGGAACGCTATCGCATCTCGTTCAAGATTTTGTTACATCTTCGGTTAGGGACTTTTTGGTTTCTTCTCGAATGTATTTTTGTGTCGTTAAAATAGCTTTCCTGCCTGGGTTCCACTTCTCATCATCGTGCAGAACTCTTCGTAATTTATCTTCCCGTCCTGCAAAAGGTATTTCCATTTTTTACAGATTGAAGAAGAAAACGATTGGAAGAAGCAGATGAACCACTTACGTTATCGGTATCCACTTCAGATATGATCTCTTTAATCGTGGCTTCGTCACCCATTCCGTATTTTTTCATGGCTGATTCTAGTTCATCTCTAGTAATAAACCTGAATTTAGAACACACAAGTTGAGGTAGATGTCACGTTTGCATACATGAACTTTTCAATAACGAGAAGTTTTCATGGAAACAGTTGTTTTACTCTTTGAGGTAGATGTCAGATCTGCATACATCTTTACCTCCTTGGACTAGTTAGATTTATAAGTTGAGGATCTCATTTCTGAGATTAATTCCATTGAGTCAGAGGTCAAGTCTACATATATCTTGCCCCTACTTTATTAAGGTGGGATATACCGGACCCCACCTACAAGTGGGATATATTGGGTTTTACTTGGGGTTTGTTTGTAAGCAACTTAATGAGCTTAATAGAAGTCACAACTTATTCAGTTTGTTATAGATGACTGTTTGGTAGTGGCTTAACGATATAAAAAGTGACTTATTTAGTAAGATTCTAAGGGGAGCTTTATGCAAAAAGCAAAGTTTTTTCCAAACATGTCCCTCTCAATTAAAAAAGTACGCTCCTATGATCTTGAATAAACTGTCCTAGACAAAAACTTTCCCAATTTACACAGACAGATTAATCCACATAGACAGCTTTATGCATATCGGGACTTAATGGAAAACCAACCAAACAACAGCCCGCTTAGTTTGGTTTATAAGTTGAGAATCTCATTTCTAAGACCAATTCCATTGAAGATAGAGATCAGGTCTGCGTATATTTTACCCTCTATATTGGGCTCGTTTGGTTTGGTTTATAAGTCGAGAATCTCATTTATGAGATTAATTTGATTAAAAACAAGTTTATATTCATACCCGCTTCCATCTGCATCAAAATGCTGAAACGCTTTGTACAAATCTTCTTCACGCTCTAATTTGTGTCGATGCATAGTTGCCGTGATGAACTCAATATAGTCAATCGTCCCATTTCCGTCTACATCAGCCTGCAAAATAGATACAACGTTTGCAAGTTCATTTTGATGATCGAAAATGCTCAATATACGTTTAAATCACACCTCCCGGTCATTGGCCCAACAGCATTCAGGTTACCGGTAGAGCCCAGCCTCCCAAAAGATCAAGGGTTCAATCCTCATTAGAGCTGTTCAAGGGCAAGATGGCCCCTTAGATCCGTCCTGTCCGGCCCGCTAGAAAAATGGATTTGGACTACCATTCTCGAAGAAATAGGCGGCCCCGGGGCCCGCACCGAGTTGTTAAAATTAATGGCGGGGATGGATGATGCAAAAAAAATTCGGCAGGACAAGCCCAACCAATTTATAGTGCGAGTATGGGCAAGTTTTAATGCCCATAAAAAAGGGCTTGAGTTTGCTATATCAGCCCATTAGCACAAGAAAAATAGGGTAGGGCCGACCCAACACCGGCCCGCAAATGATCAACTCTAGTACAAATATTATATACTCATAAAACGTAAAAATCTTAAAATTATATCTTACCGCTTCCATGAGTTGCCTAACTTCGGCCTCGGTGAGTTTTGACCCGAGTCGAGCCAACCCAGTTTTAAGTTCTTCGTATGTGATCGTGCCGCTTTTGTCAGTGTCTATGTTCAAAAACATGGATTTTAACCCTTGGATTTCCTCCGCTGATAGATTTTCGGCAATGACCTGAAATTTTTTGTGCGTATTTGTATATAAATGGCTAAATATGCTAAATTGTTTTGTATTGTTAAACGGCTTAATGTATACGGTGAAATATGCGGATAGTCGTGTTATAAAACGAACCTTAAGAGCGAGTTTCTTGAGTTTGTTCATAGCTCGGAATTGCTTCATCCTAGAAAGGACTGCGCTATTGATCGGTTTGTCGGATGCTTCTCCGTCTTCTCGAATCCACGGATGCTCTGTACCCGTTAAGTATATATATATATATATATATATATATATATATATATATATATTTAAACGATTACAATTAGGTCATATTTGACAACCATAAGCTAACTAATTTTTTTGAGCTTATTGAAAAACTGAAAAATCCCCGTTTGGGTAGTCATAATCTAGTTTACGCTACTTGAAATAGTGTTCCAAGACAGGGTTTTTTCCAACTTCTTTCCAATTATATCCCTAATTATTATATATATATATATATATATATATATAGGTCGAGTTTCAAATGAGAACACCTTTGTTTACGAGAATGCGAGAACATTTATGGGCCTCCAAATAATTAAAATTAAAAGAAAACAAAGTAATTTAATTAAGAATAATCATGTGATTTTGTATTTATTTGTAATTTTGGTGACATGTTTATCTCTAAAATCAAATACAGATGATATGATAACCAGTATCAAATAGTTATCACATTTTATCACAGTAAAATCACATAATGAACAGACAGAGCAGATGTGATCATCGCCAATTTTCACAACATTATCACATCACTATCACAACAAAAATCACATAATTATTAGATGATTATCACATCAAAATCACATCATAAAAAGTTTTCAATTTATCACATTATTATCAAGGCAAAATCAGATCATTATCACAGTATATCACATTATTATCAACGACGAACGGTCGACATAAAAAGTCTCCGATGATAATAACAGAATTTAAGAGATAAGGATAAATCTAGGATAACAAAAAGTTATGGATGAACACTAATTTATTTTCATTTATTCTAATTTTTATTATGTGTTAATTAACTTGGAGGCCTAGAAGTGTTCTCACATTTTCGTAAAATAGGGGTATTCTCGTTTGAGCCCTTCCCTATATATATATATAGAGAGAGAGAGAGAGAGAGAGAGAGAGAGAGGGGAAGTTCAGGAAAACCCCCAAAAAATGAAAAACTGAGGAACACCCTGGTAATCATTCATTTGGACGGTATGCAAATATACATACAAGTAACTGAAGTTACTTCTTGGTTTTTATGTACGTCTGCATTGCTTACAAATTACTTGTATGCACATGTACATATCGTCCAGATGAATGGTTATCAAGGTGTTTCTCGGTTTTTTATTTTTTGCGGTTTTCCTCTGAACCTGATCCTATATATATATATATATATATATTAATTATTTTATATTTTTGTTACTATTATAATATTATTATCATTAATATGATAAAATGGATTAGTGATTTGTTTTAATTATATTATGTAATGGCAGAACCAAGTAATTTTTCAACGTGTCCTTTAATGTCACTTTACATTTTTCATCTAGCTTATCAACTAGTTTTTACCAAACATGATTAGTTTATCAGACAGTTTGCCATAAGTAAAAAGATCATGACGACGAAAATTTCAGGCCAAATACGAGATTGAGACATACCAAGAACTTGAGCAGAAGTTATCCGCTTCTTCGGGTCAAGCGTTAGCATCTTTTGCACAAGGTCCTTGGCGCTACTCGAAATAGATGGCCAAGGATCGCTTTTAAAATCAACATATCCTTTCAAAATCTCGTCGAATATTCCTTTCTCCGTCTCTGCAATTCGGTAAAAAAAAAAGAGTGGGACCCACAAAGTTTAAAGCCGATGTCACACTTTAGAAATTGTGTTAGAAATTGTATTGTAGTGGATGGTTAAATTACCGGCCCAAAATGGAGGTACACCGCTTAGTAAGATATATAGCATCACTCCCGCACTCCATATATCGATTTCCTTCCCATATTTACGCTTTAACACTTCTGGGGCTACGTAATACGCACTTCCGACAATATCATGATATGATTTTCCTGTAATAGTTTGTTTCATAATCGCCACAAGATTAGCGTAATCGTAATGATAAGCATACCAAAAAGAACTTGAACACGTTGAGAAAATAGCTGAAAAGCTAGTTGTTGGCTGAAAAAACTAACTGTTAGCCGATAAACTAGCCTTGTTTGGTAAAAAAAACTACTTAACAAGGTAGATGATAGAGTATAACGGGTTGTTTGGTTGGTTTTCCATTAAGTCATATATGGATAAAGCTGACCGTGTGGATTAATTTGTCTGCATAGATTGAGGAAGCTTTTGTTTGCAAGAGTTCTTTTTATAGATGAAAGGAGCATGTTTTTTAATTGGGAGGGGAGGTTTAGAAAAAACCTGGTTTTCTACATAAATATCCACTCTCGAAGTTTAGTGAATAAGTCATTTTCTATATCATTAAGCCACTACCAAACAATCATGTACAGCAGACCGAATAAGTCGTGAGTCTCGTTAAGCTCATTAAGTTGCCAACAAACAAGCCCTAAATGACCTAAATAAACATGTTGAAAACTTAACAGGAAGGGCATAATTGGAAAAAGGTCGAAAAAACCCTATTATATTGTTACTTGAAATAGGCAAATAGTGTTTAAAAAAAACTAGCGTAATATATGCTACCTGAATGGCTTACCGAATGCGGCTTTTTCAATAAGTTCAAAAATAAGCTAACTCACTAACCCTAACCTCTACCCTCTACCTCCCGAGCTTCCTTCCTTCCATCTAGTCTACTAACCTAGTCTTACGTCTCCAATATCTCCTATCAGATGAACTTCTATCGGATATGATGTTCTCAGAAATGAGACTAGTGGAGACAAAATTCTCTTCTCCCCAATTCCCCCTGTCCAATCATGTAAAGCCACATCATCATTTTTTATGAGGAGAGAGAATAAAAAGATATATTAAATAAAATGATGATGTGTATTCCCATGATTGGTGGGATAGGAAATCGATGCACCTAAAAAATCTGGTTGTCCCAAAATCATACGTCTCATCTCTGTCCAACCAATGAAAATAAGACACATCATATTTTTATATTTATTTTAGATTTATTTTACTCAAGCTCGCATTCTCCCTCTTATAATGCGTATTCATATAATTGGTAGACAGAAATAAAATGTGAGAATTTGGTACACGTGATTTTTGTATCTCCAAGAGATACCGAAAACATTCCTTCGTAGACACCAAATTGGTGTAACATTGTTCTCTTACACCAAATCTTAAACCAATCATATAAAGCCACGTCATCATTTTGGTGATGTAAGACAGTAAAGAGATAAATTAAATAAAATTTCTATTAAATAAAAGGAAATTGACCAAAATAGTCCATCTTTTCAACCAAATTCACTTTTTAGCCGCTTTTGGCATCGAATTAGCCTATTTTTAGGTTGAAAAAAATTCTTTACACAAATGGGATCCGTTCACAAATTTACATAAAGATTTTTTTTAAATCTGAAAATAGGCTTTACACAAATGCATAAGGCATTTATAGGGGTGTTTGGGATTGCTTATTTGAAACAACTCATGTTTTTTTACAAAAGCACTTATTAACTTATTATAAGTAAGAAGGTTTAACTTCTTCAAAAACTTCATTTTACCAGTTTGGCACAGGTATAAGTTGTTTATCCGAACACTCAAAAACCATATCAATAAGTTGTTTTTATAAGCAATCCCAAATTCCCCCACGTAAACTCCAGCTAAAATTGAAATTCGACTGAAAAAATAGCTAAAAAGTGAATTTGGTTGGAAAGAACGGCTATTTTGATCAATTTCCCTCCAATCTGAATGGATTTGGAGTAAAATTTGGCGTTAAGCATCGGATCAAAACATACCTTCTTGAATGAAAACCGATAACCCGAAATCGGTAGCCTTCAAAAGAGCATCCTCACTCTTATCCGAAAGCAAAAAGTTCTCCGGCTTCAAATCGCGATGCATAACACCCATAAAATGACACACATGAACCACATTCACAATCGATCTACAAATCGAAGCGGCAGCTCGTTCACTGTAATGACCCTTTTCAATTATCCGATCGAAAAGCTCTCCACCTTCACAAACCTCCATAACCAGATGAACAGAAAGTTTATCTTCATAAGCACCTTTAAATTCAACTATATTTGCTTGTCCACTTAAATGCTGCATAATCTGAATCTCTCTTCTCATATCCTCTTTATCTCCTTTCGTAATCAATTTCTTTTTCGATATCGATTTGCAGGCGTATTTTTGATTTGTTGAAATCTGTGTACAGAGATAAGTAACCCCAAATTGACCTCTGCCTAATTCTCTTCCAATTGTGTAGTGTTCTTTGACATCTTCGAATGATTTGCCGAGAATCGTGTTCGATTTGAAAACCCTTTTGGGGCTCGGTGGTGGCGGTGGTTTTCTCGCCGGAGTTTGGGTTGCCGGAGGTGGTGATTTGGTGTAGAGTATGTTGGGGTCGTCGGATCTTTGATTTGAGTGAAGAACTGTATCGGGTTTTGAAGAATCTTTGGTTTTGCTGATGCATATACCCATTTTTTGGTGGATTGATGGAAAACCCAGATGAAATTGGTGAGATTTGAGGAAGAATTTGGAAACCCAGATGGAGATTTTGGAGATGAAATCGGGAAAATGGATATACGATCGGAGAATTTGGAGCTCATAGACAATGCTTGGAAGCTTAGAAGTGTAGAAAGGGCATATTGAAAAAGTTGTTAGCTAAGGAATCAATCGAATACGCGTTTGCTTTGTTTTAATTTGACTTGTCAAGAATTAGTTGTGTGCGAATATAATATTATCAATATATATAGAAAGAGAGTAGCAATCAATGGAAACATCTTTATTTTGTATAAACCATTCTCATTCGTTGATTTCATTATTTGATCTTATGAAAAAATTGTTTCGTATAATATTTTTTTAATTAGGTTGTTTCATATATGGTTATAAAATTATTTTATATAATATTTATGAAATTTTAATGAAACTGTTTCATATATTTATCTAAAATTAATAAAATAAAGATGATAATATCCATGATTAACACCCTCTACAATAAAAATGATTAATCAACCTCACATAATTACAAAAAAATGAATAAAATGAAAAAATATGATTGGTTGAATGAAGTTTGCACAATTTATTCAAATAACGTGGTTTGGAATTAAAGATAATCAAAAATCCAAATTACTTTTTACACTTTTTACCTTAACTTTTTTTCTCACACGATGTTTCATCTATTTAAAATATCATAAAATTTTATAGAATTATGATAAAGAAGACAAGATTTTTGTCTGAATATTTGTTAGGGACAAAAGATCCCAACCATTTTAATGTGTCTCATTAATGTGGCCCATCTTTATTAACATATCTAAATTAAATATACAAATTATTTGCATTTATATCAATATAATATCTTTATCTCTATCACTGTCTATATATATATATATATATATATATATATATAGAGGTTGGTTATTATACAACTCATGATATTTGTGCAACCAATACAACCCAATTTCAACCGTCTATTTCATTTGATTAATATGTGATTTTTATAGAAGTTTTTGATTGTTTCTTAATATAAAGTATTAATCATAATTAATGAACTATATTTATCTTCCATAAATATTTAAATCATAACAAATGAACTTTCATCATTTTCATAAATACTTCAATTTATTATGTTGTATTAATTGTACAAATACAATAAATTGTATTTTGAACAATCTCTCTCTATATATATTAAATGGCCATCCTCTTGGTGGCAGCAGGTTGGAAGTTGTTAGTGGTAGGCCACTCTTTGACATGTCTTAATTACCCATGTGCGCAGCCTCTTTGGGGTCTGTTTTCAAACACCACAATACTATTTACATCTATATTATCTTATAAATTAGATTTATTAAAAATTTTAAAAATAATTTTTAATTTTTAATGTATAAAATAATATTATATATTGATGCACAGTCTTAGAAACAACTTATAATTCATTAGTACAAGTTACTAATGCATATTATTATCTTTTCTTTTCATTTACCCATTTAGTCTTAAAATCTTTTAATCTACAATTAAAATAACATTTAATACAAATTACCAATGCATATTATTACATTTTCTTTTCATTTTTCCAAAATGATTTTGACACATTTCACTCATGTCTTCACCCTCTCATACCTCTACGTCTTCTAAATGTGAGATTCAAACTGATATTCACCACGAGTTTTTAAAATTCTCTCATTCAATTGCTCTAGAACTCTCGGTTTCGCTCTCGATCTCTTGATTCTTTTGCTCTTTGTGTAAATCAAACACATTTGTGGAGTCGTTTAAATATGTTGGATTTTAAATTGTTATACAATTCTTTTTTATCGATAGACTGTAATTGGAACCATAACCATTATTTATTCAAATTGTATTAATATGTAAATACCAAGTGTAACTTATATCATCGTTAAATCCTCTCTAATAAAACAAGTGAAACTTCAAAATTGTTAAAATTCACAGCTCCCGCCGCATTGCGCGGATACACAACTAGTTATCTTTAAATTCATAATCAGGTCAAGTCATGTACTAAGAATGAAAAAAAGTGAATTTTCATGTTGATGTATAATTAAGCTCCCCCATACAAAACCCCAAAATTTCCCTAAACAACCTGTACGACTTTGGGTTGGGTTGGATTGGGTGAGATTTTTCAAAGTGAAAAAATTGGGTTGGGTTCCCTATCGAATAAGATTTTAGTCTACCAAAACGATATTGTGTGTAACAATTTACACGATAAGTGTTAACCGTGGTAAGAGCCATCGTCATCACTTACCGGATAAGACTATCGGTCCGTGTATTTGTTTTTACCATGTAAGATTCTTGGTACTTGTCATATTCAATCGGTATAGAAATGTGACTTGATAAGCACTTACCCGAGTAAGCATTTGATAAACGGTCCTTTAATATCGTTAAACTAATAATCATTTGTTAATTTTGCGATTGTTTTCAGTCGTTTATTTTTCTACTCATAATTTCTTTTTCATCATCAACCATTTGATACAACTTATCCATATTTATTACGTATATCACATTTAGTTAATTTTCTCAATTTACATATATATGTTCACAGTTACTGAACATATATATGAATGAGTTATATAGAGATATGAATAGATTGAAAACATGTGTATATGAAAAACATACATGATAGTGTAATTGTCTAATGTATATATTAATAGAAATTCAACAATCATATTAAATCCAATAAATAAAAGGATATCGGGTTCATCGGGTTGGGTTGGGTTCAAATAATAGTAACCCAATATCAACTTAATACCTACAGTTTGACAATTTTACAACTCGATTAGACATCGGGTTGCTTCGAATTGGGTTATTTCGTGTTGGGTTGGGTTGATCAGGTTGGTCGAGTTTTTGAGCACCCCTAGCGTAAGCAATAAATCATATTTAGGGATCGTTTACCAAACGCTTACTCGGGTAAGCCCTTACCAAGTCACATTACCTTATCAAATGAATATGATAAATACCAAGAATCTTACCCAGTAAGAGGAAGACAAGGACCAAGAGTCTTACCCGGTAAGTAAAAACGACGACTCTTACCACAGGTAAATTGTTGCATACGATGTCATTTTGATGGATTAAAATATTATTCGGTAAGTAAATGATAGTGTTAAATTTTATCGGTAAATGTTTACTTGGTAAGTGTGTGGTAAACGACCCCTTAATGTATTGTTATCCTTCTAGAAGGTTTAAATTAGAAGATTATAAACAATGAGAAGGTCCAAATCAAAGATTCATAGGTGAATAATGAAAAAAAAACAATCCAAAATTAACATGTCTGAAGATACATATATATATATATATATGAACCGATGTTATAGATTATTCATATAGGTGCATATATGCATCTTTAAATGGATCTTTGCCACATATGAAATCGAGCACAATTTTGCAAAGAAATAGCCCCACTTGTTTCTCGAGAAGAGATGGGAAACATGCTCAATATCATTTGATTGAATAGTTGACCTAGCCCCTTGTTGTTTGAAAAAACCTTCTAATATCAATAGGTTGATTGTTTCACTCCTGTATTTTCCAAAAGGAAAAAAAATCTATGAGAGTTCTTTCAAATCAAAATATAAAAACTCACATTGGGTTTAGGGATAATCAGGCAAAAATTTGTGAAAAATGTCGACTAATCCGTCGTTGAGAGATAGCTGTCCATACATTGATATCTCTTTTTTTGATTGACCTCCTCCTTTCTTGAACTTCTTTTCCCGAAGAAGAAGCAATGACGGTATCTGGGGAATTCTTAATTCATGAGTTGTAGGGAGGGGAAAAAAATGAATTTACTTCCATTTGGTAAACAGTACCCGAAGGTTCACAAGCGGCTGAGTCTCTTATGTCTGCAGAAAATGGTATAGGGGTAAATGTACACCTTACGGCACGAGCTGACGACAGCCATGCACCGGTTCCGAAGGATGAACCGGATATGGACAGTTCCAACAAGTTCAAATATACAACATGGATTCTGGCAATGCAATGTAGTGGGACTCTACCCCAATTTATTGTAGAAATTTTCGGCATTCTAGAAAAAAAATTCGTAATTGATTTACCGAAAAATAATGATTCACGTATTACAATTCCACGATATCTTGCCTTTTTATTTGAAATTTTGAACCGATCCATACCCTTATATTTATTAAATTTTATTAATTATACCAAATTATAGCTGATAACTGATTCTAGATTGAATTATTCAAAACATAACTCCATTAAATAAACATACTGCATTTCCAGTTTAAACATAACTAGCAGTATTTTCCTGTAAGTGATCAATTAACGCATTCCAAGGTACATAAATGAGGTTCTTTAATCACAGATTTCACCAAAAGAATTGCATATTCAACATCTAATACGTAATTAATTACTATTATTATAAAGTTCATTCCAAAACAGTTAATTAATCTTCATATGATACAATCACCATCAGATACATGTCGACAACTTGGTCAGATTTGTGTCTAGAATTTTATACCGTTAAGACGCCAAAGCAAGTCTTTTTTTAAATCAACGTGACTTCTCATCTGCTATCATCAACTGCTTGGAGATTTTCAATGACAGATATTTTATGATAACAAAAGTGGAATGCTAAATATACAACTGTTGTATGTTAAACACATACTTATAGATGTCAGTTACACACATTAACATCAAAACATTATTTTCTTAATTTTAATACATGATTTAACTTAATGACTGTTTGTTTACCTCTTAGTAGTTCCATTAAGAGACAACCTATGAATTGGTAAGAGGTGAATATTGTTTGCCAAAAAAAAAATTCTGACTCTTAATGGTCCTAAAACCATCTGAATGATTTTGTATCATGTGTCTCTCTTAACCATTCAGCACCCTAATTTCATTCTGAATAATTATCGAATAATTATATTTCATTTCGCACTATATTATAAGAGTCTTTTAATCATTCTGACCACTTAATCATTCTACACCAAACCATTCAACAACTGCTAAATAATCGGCTGTGATATAAATAAGTGTAAATATAACAATACCATATCAGAGACAGCCTAACAAAATTGTGAATTGGAAAAGGAAGAACGATGTTGTTCTATTTATTTTGAGTAAATAACAAAACCACCCCTATATTATTCCACAATTTACATGTTTAACCCCTTAGTTTTTTTTTTATATAACAGTATTTGAATGAAACTTTGTTGTATATTTGTATTTAGCATTTGAAACTCATATGAATAACTAATATTGAGTAAATAATGTTTTTCGTTCATGTACGTTGTTGAAATTTTTTATTTTCGTTTTTTTTTTATTAACTTGAATATCTAACTCGCTATGCGAATCAATTAATTCTAGTGTGATCACCTGTTTTGTAAATGGTCTGAAGTCACCGCATTTGAACCTCCGTGGCTACAAGAGGATTTTTATTTCTCCTTGAATATAAACCTGGACCCTCCAGGTACTTTTGACTTTTGGAACCAAACTCAAACCAATCAGGCACCACCCTTGTGGTTTTATTTTCGTTCTTGTGGTTCAGAAATTACGAATTCCATCCTCGTGGTTTTAATTTATTATTGTTTTCATCCTTATGATTTAAACTTTATTGTTATTTTCATCTATGTGGTTTACAATTCATTTTTATCTTAGTCCTTCGAACTTAAAAGTAGTAGTCAACCATAAAAACTGTATTTTTTTTATATACAACAATTTATCAAATAACTGATAACCATGTAAGTAAAATTCGGTTAGATTTTAGGTTTTTTTTGTCAAAACAATTTTTTTTTGTACTTTCTATCATGTTTCCTTCAGTAGCTTTCCGTTTGTATCCCACCAACTAAAAAAGTACCTCGAAATCAACTAAAAATCCTTCAAAATAATAATAATAATTTTTTTGAAAATCTCTTGAAACTGTGAAATTAAGCTAAACACGCATCGAACAACTTCACGGACCTTTAATCTACCTTAAAGGTGCCTCAAAAATCCTGTTTCCGCCACTGTTTAGTATCACTTTTATTGGATAAGATTCTTGGTCGTTATATTCATCAGATAAAATAAATGATAAGTAAACACTTACCAAATAAATATTCAGTAAACAACATGTTATATATCTATACTACATATATAACCATTTAGGCCATTATCTTAATTACAAATCCTAAAACATAAGTTACAATGGTTTTATGCAACAAATTCAAAAAACTCTTAATTACAACTCATAAAGCATGGTGTACAAGTTTTATGTGCATTGACTTTAAATGCAATAGGTAGAACTTGCTTTCTTGGCTTCTCTTCCTTTTCTAGCATTTCCTTTATGTCAAGACCGTTTTAGAAATTCAAAATTCAAATAAAAAAAAATCCTAAAATCTCTGATTGAGATTTTTGCATATTTTTGGTCGGTTTCCCTTTCTTGTTCCACTAGAACCATTTGTTTTTGTGTGATTCACTAGCTGGCTTTTGGTTCTTTGTTTTCTTGGCTTCTCTTTCTTGTTCCACTAGAACCATTTGTTCTTTATTTCTCATGAACATAAAGGTTCAAATGTAGGAATCTGCCTTCCTTGATCAAGAATGGTTTTTCTGAAGAAGACTAAGAGAAATTATGCTTGGCTTTCGAAGCTCCTGTTTACAACATGGGAAAAGGAAGTACTGAAGTTGAGAAAGAGCTTGTGGATATTCAAAATGGGTTCCTTCCTTACCCCTCTTTTACATCCCTCCCGTGGATTGATTGTTGTCTCTATCTCTAAAAATCATTTGGAAGAAAAGACTGGGAGGATTGCTGTTTCTTCAAGCCTTCGTGGTCAACGAAAGCTATCTTTCAGCCACCCTAACATCCATTGTTGAAAATAAAGTCCTCTTCTCTCAATCTCATGGTGAAGATGGTCTAGAGTTTAGTGTTGCTACTAATCATGTAGGTTTAAATTCTGGTGAAGGCTTGATGGATGAAAAGTTTGTTATTTCATCTCCTGTTGATAACGTTTTTGGACTTTCTTTGAGCAAAACCTCCCATGAAGATGATCCAATGGTCTTATCCAAAAAAATCAAAAAATATTCGTATTTGGTAATCCTCCATGCACCGAAAGTACTGAAGATGTGGAAAGTTTCTTTAGTTCCCCCTTGCATGAAAGTGACTCCTCGGGTCTGAAAGGCTAGGTCTTTGACCTTTGAAATTGATGCGATGGGGGAGGATTTTTTTTCTTGAAAATGAAAGGGAAAAGCTGACTTTGGATAATCTTTTTTCCAAAAAGGTTAGCCCTTTCACTGTTTTGGAAGATGGGTCTGTGCAGGAAAAGGTGAAGGCTTGCAATAGTGTTGGCAGGAAAAAGTGCAAGCATGGTTAACGTTGAAAATGGCGGGGGTCTTGGGGTACATGGAAACACAAAAAAGTGGGAAAACCCAGCTGTCTTTTTTACCCACACAGCATGTGATAGTGAGTAAGGTGTTTCGGGAAAAAATAATGGTAATCGGCAACCTCTTTCTTTTACATTTGGGCCTGTTACTTGTCCCATTCCCATTGGACCTCATAATTTGGAGATGTCCACTACTCCTAATTCTTTTGGTGAGTCACTCGATTATTTAATGGAGGTTGGGCCATGTTGTGATGAGCAACTTCTTGTTGTCCCTTGCTCTAATGGGATAGCTCTTTTATTTAAAGATTTTGGACTTGACAACCATTCTTATGGAAAAACTTTCTTTTGATGGACCACGCAAATCAGGATGAAATTCACTTGACTCCTTATATTGAATTTGGCCACAATTATCATTTCATTTTGTCTTTGAAGTTGGCATAAAAAAATGATGAAGAGCAAACACTCCGATGGATATATTCTCGCTTACATTTATATAAAATTTATATCCCGCCGCATTGTGCGGGTACACAACTAGTATATATATATATATATATATATATAGAGAGAGAGAGAGAGAGAGAGGGGGGGAGAGAGAGAGAGTTTATTTCAAATACAACCCGTCGCATTTGTACAACCAATGCAACCCAATACATTGAGATATTTATGGAAATGATGAGAGTTCATTTATTATGATTTAAATATTTATGGAAGATGAATATAGTTCATTAATTATGATCAATACTTTATATTAGGAAACACTCAAGACTTCTATGAAATCACATATTAATCAAATGAAATGAACGGTTGAGATTGAGTTGTATTGGTTGCACAAATGTTAATGATTGTATAATAACCAACCCTTCTCTCTCTCTCTCTCTCTATATATATATATAAAGAGAGAGAGAGAGAGAGGTGAGTTATTATGTAACCTTTTATATTTATACAACCAATACAACTCAATCTTAATCGTCCATTTAATTTTATAAATATGTGATTTTATAAAAGTTTTGATTGTTTCATAATATAAAGTATTGATCATAATTAATGAACTCTAGTCATCTTCCATAAATATTTAAATTATAATAAAATTTTCATTATTTCTATAAATATCTCAATTAATTGGGTTGCATTGGTTGTACAAATGCACGTCTTGTATTTGAAATATACCATATATAATATATTTTATCGATTTTACCTTAAAAAATAAAAAAAAAAAGTATTGTCAAATTTGAGCGTTTTGGGCCGAAAGTTATATGGGCTCGAGATGCGAGTCGAATGGTTTCCACTTGTCATAGCCGTCTCGCCTTCGAAAGCGAGTAGTTGGACTTCCAGTGAGAGAGATAATGGCGTCGTCCATTTCCGCCCTAGCACCGTCGTTGAATGTTCCGGCGATGGCCATTGGTGCACTCTGCCACCGCACTTCACTACCTGCTCCTGGTTTAGGATGCGGATCCTCTGCAGTCTCTACTTTCCGGAGGTCTTCTAAGCCGTGTTATTCCCATCGATCTAAGTCCTTTGCTTGCTTCGCCATTTCTACTAACGCCAGTGAGTATTGTTTTTCTATGATCTGGTAGATGGAAATTTGAAAAGTTTGATTTGGTATCGTGAATTGAAAGCATTTAGAAATGTGTTAGATTGTGTTTATTTTAACAACTTCATGATTGACTTGAAATTGTGGAGGAATATATTGTTGATTGCATATATTTATATATCACTGAATAGGTTTGGACTCTGAAAAACAGATATATTAAATTTTGAAAGATTAGATAAGAGTAAACAACAGTAATGGCTGTTTGTTTTGTTTGTTAGCAGCTTAACGAGACTTTCAGCTTATTTGGTTTGTTATAAACTACTGCATGGTAGTGGCATAATGATACAGAAATTGACTTAGGGGTGGTTTTTCATGAAGTCGTGTATGAATAAAGTCATCTACGTTGATTCATCTGTCTATATGGATCAGGAAGATTTTTGTTTGGGGTTTTTTACGAGCTGTGTTTTTTGATTGGAAGTAGCAGGATTGGAAAAAACTTAGGCTTTTAAGCTCCTCCTAGAAGCTAACTGAATAAGCCACTTTCTATATCGTTAAGCAACTACCAAACAGCCATGTATAGCTAACAGAATAAGCTGTGAGTCACATTAAGCTGCTAACAAAAAGTCATTTAGGGTGGATATACATGGAGAAAGGCAAGTTTTTTTTTTCTGATTATGCCCCTCTCAGTTAAACAACACGCTCCTTCCATCAATGAAAAACCCTCCCACAAAAATCTTTGTGATCTATACATATATATTAATCCACACAAACAACTTTATCCACACAGGACTCAATGGAAAACCAGCCGAACAGCCCCTAACACAGATATGCTAAATTTTGAGACACTAGATATGCCTAAGCCACAACAATAATAGAAGAATGTATAAGTATTGTGAAAATATAAGCGAGGTGTGGAAACAACACACCCATAGTCTAACTTAGGTTTCTATTAACCTAACTACCGACTCACTAACCCTATCCCCTACGATTCTTGGTATATGATAGCTGATGGATTGTCAAAAATGCACGAGGAGGGTAAGTGCATGTAGTGTGGTGTGTGGGGTTTTTTCTTTTCTCTTGTCGTTCTTGTTTTAACTTTATTTTGGTAATCTTGGGTATCCTAACCAACTTACACGCACTGACTATTTCGGGTGTCAGGCAACCACGAATGTTCACAAAGGCTTTGGCAACGCCTGGATTTGAACCTAGGAAATATAGTCTTAACCAGTGCGCCACAAGTCCACAACCCAAGTGGTTCTTGTGGATCTTGTTTACATTAGTTCAAGTTGTTTGAATCTTTGAATGAATAAATGGTAAGTTTGTTTATTTCGGATACAGGTATAAAGGAGGCTGTTAAAACTGACAAGGCTCCAGCAGCTTTGGGTCCCTATTCTCAAGCCATAAAAACCAATGATACCGTATTCCTATCTGGTGTCCTTGGTCTTATTCCGGAGGTTTCGTGATAACGTTTTCACGTCTTTCAAATGCTTCGTTGATTAGTTTTTTCTCTCTTGTTGAATGTCTAATTCAATGCATGGGTATTTCTGCAGACTGGGAAGTTTGTCTCGGACAGCGTGGAGGAACAAACCGAACAGGTAACATAAAAAAATTATCCGTTTGCAATGTACTCGTAGGGCCTTGGATTTTCTATTTTGTAACATAAATCACTGTCGTGGCCATCTTCAAATATAGATATTGGTGGATACCTATCTTAAGACTCCAATTGACCATCTTCAGGGACTTCTAGAAAAGGGAAACAGTTACTTGTAACAACTCGTTCAAATGGATGGAAAAGTAGATTGGTGAGAGCTTCTTATAAGTTCAAAGTTGTGGTGGTTACGAGTGACTTCCACCATGGTTTTAAGTTGAATCCGAAGCTATTGGGTCAGCCTGTTGCTTTGTCCACATTTCTATTTTAGTTTGTTTCAAAATAAATGTCCGATTTAAAAACTAAGTGTATACTTTCCAATTCTAACCTTAATTATGAAATTGATAAAATTAATACTCTCTCTGTTATCAATGGTAAACTTGTCATCTAGTTAATAAAAAATTGTAATAATCATATATTACTAAAACTGTACCTTTTTCATTGTGGACATTTTTTTGGGACAAAGGGAGCCTTAAGATAGGAACTGTCAGTTTTTCATTTTTTTTTCTTCGGTCTAAGTAAATAGGCCTAGAAAGCTGAAATCGTTAACTGATCAAAACGAATAGGATTTTATAGTATGTGCTTATTGTCTTATTACCATAAATTGGCTTGGATTTTCAGGTTCTCAAGAACATGGGAGAGATATTGAAAGCAAGTGGTGCCAGCTATTCCTCTGTGGTTAAGACCACAATCATGTAAACATGCTTTCTTTCCCATCGATGCATCCTCATCTTTAAGGGTGCGTTTGGTATGTGGATATGACTGGACTGGACGGATTGTGAGCTAGGCAGGTGAAAGAATTGTGAAAGGTTTTAGCGTTTTAATTTGTCATGGGTAGTTTAGTAATTTCCTTGTCCTATCTCCCTTTTGTTACACCTATTTTGGTGGGACAGAAAAAAGCTTTTTTTGTCTTATTCAGGCCCTGTCCAGTCCATTCTTAGTCTAATGTTGCGCTAAACATGAGCCAACAAGTTTTTGCACCGCGTACCAAACACAACCCTTTTAGTAAGAAATTTTTTTGGGCATTGATTCTTAATGATCTATTTGGTGGCAGGTTGGCTGATCTGAAGGACTTTAAGAAGGTGAATGAGATATATGCTAAATGTGAGTTCACAATATTTCTTGTGTTTGGATGTTGTTTATTTGACATGCTGATTAAGGAACTCATTTATTTAATTTTTATTTTTTGATTAACCTGGATATCCAACCCGTTATGCGAGCCGACTAATCCCAGGGCGACCATCTGCTTTGCAGATAGCCCGGAATCACCGCATTTGGACCTTCGTTGCCACAAGGGGATTTTTATTCCTTGTTGGATTTGAATCTGAGACCTCCTGGTTCTTTTGACCTTTGGAGCCAAGCTCAAACCAATCAAGCACCACCCTTGTGGTTAGGAACTCATATATTACTGTTAACATTCATGGAAACAACCACTCCACTTTCTGGGGGTAGAGGCCACGTTTACTCTACACTCCTCCTCCGAGTAGGAGTAAATACGGGTTGGGTTGATCGGGTTGAAGACATTTGAACAACCCGATCCGACCCAATTACCCAACCCAACATAAACCGTGTTGGTTGGGTTTTTGTGCACCCCTATCTCTTAGGCATCACTCATGTTGTGGGGTATGTCGGAATTGTTTTGGTTCAGTTTGCAATGAGTTACGACTTACGCCTTAATGGACGGATTCATGTATTTGTCTTCAAGACCTACTTCTTATATAATTGTAATTATTGATGTTCTCGTTATTGGAACCTAACTCGAGGAAATGGTGGGGTGTATCAGATTTCCCTGCACCAGCACCCGCTCGTTCAACATACCAAGTTGCAGCGTTGCCGTTGGATGCAAGGATCGAGATCGAATGCATAGCAGTAGTCTAGTTTCTTTTGTACTGAATCTTGTTCTCCTTGCAAGGTGATCTGAATGATGGTTTCTAGTAATAAAAATGGGTTCATTTCTACATAATGACTCACTATGGAGTTCTAAAGGGGTCGTTCACCTAAACACTTATCAAATAAGCGCTTACATTGCATATAACACATATATCATACATATAATACATGTTTTCTCCACACAGGTCCATAATACAAGAGACTACAATACAATATATACAGCTCAAAACTTCAAAATATATTCTCTTGTATGATATCCATTCTCCAAAACTCATTCAGATATGATCTTCATAATTCTAAGCACATAGGGAAGTAATCATAGAATATTCTTTCCCTATTATCATTACCTGCACACATATTTGAAAACACAAAATGAGGGTTAGATATGAATGTCTAGTAAGGTTCTCTTTTTATGTAATGCAGGGTGAGAATCAACAAATCATTTAAACCATTTCACATAAAGAGAAATAAAATCACATTCTGTTTGAGTCCATCGGACCTCTAGTTCCAAATAACACACTTAGAACATATTATGTTTGAGTCCATCGGACTTCTGGTTCCAAATACCATACTTAGAAAATATTTCAACTCATACGAGGACCAGAACCCCTCTGGTTCCTCTACCAGAGCTTCTAGTTAAACTAACCAAAGCCTCTTACTTAAATAAAATTCCCAAAAATGTTCATCGATCATCATTATAGATATTAACATAGCTTTTCCAAGGATAAAATTATATTTTGAAAATATCATGTAGGACCAGAGCCTTTGGTTCTACTAGCCAGAGCTTCTGTGTCTTCATGCAAGACCAACCAGAGCCTCTGGTTCAACCCGTATAGGCCAACTAGATCCCCTCTGGTATGTTTTCATAAGAAAAGTTTCTAAGTATAAAAATTTACGAATACAAAGCCTCTAGTTTAACTAAAAATTTGTAAAAGACTTGTATAATTTTCAAACCATCGTCCAGAACCCTCTGGTTCTACATTGAGGAACAACCAGAGCTCCTCTGGTTCCTTACAAGGAACAATCAGAACCCCTCTGATTCTCATAAAAATGAACATTCCGTTCCAAAACATTTTTAACCAATACCAATGGCCATAGGCCAAGTTTTTCCCTTCTCAATAAAGTCAATACTATTATTTCTAATAAGAAGAACATCTTTGAGTTCTCAAATCACAAAGAAGTAAGGATTCAAATCTATTGTAGTCTTAAAAGACATAATAGTAAGAGCTATAATATTCACACACAATTGCCACCCTTGATATGTCACCCTTATTCCAAAAGACACATCTTCTTGATATGCCACCCTTATTCCAAAAGACACCTCTCTCTGATATGTCACCCTTATTCCAAAAGACACCTCTCCTTGATATGTCACCCTTATTCCAAAAGACTTCTCTCCTTGATATGTCACTCTTATTTCTTCTTGAAAATCTATGAACTAGTTCGGATGAAGGACCATAGTCACAACCATCTTATCGAATCCTCATTCATATTTTTATCCATAAAATCTATAGATTAATTCCAAATGAAGATAGATCAAAATCACAACCGTCTTAAAAGAATATTCTCTATAGTTTTCAACCAACAGTTTTATCATCAAAACTTTTCAAACTCAAGAACAATCTATTCTTTCAATGATTTCCAAAACATCATATCATTTTTAAATCCTCAAAACAGGATATCATTTCTCAAATTGTTTTAAAAAAGCAATCCCTTCTTTATCTTTCCCAAAACAGTTTTTAATACTCAAATATATAACAATAACACATTTAAATTATCAAAACAGTTTTTACCATCTTTTCTTCAAAACCAACATCAAAACTCAGCAGTTTATATAACAATATATATATATATATAAGTTTTAGTCATCAAAAACTCACGGTTTGTAAACTGATAGTAATTCAAAAATTCACCTTAATAATCACAGATTTTGTAGTTTTAAAACACACAGCAAATCACAAGCTCTTCAAACAGTTTTGAACAAAAGATTTCTTCAAGAACACTTCTCATCGCCATAACATTTATTTTCTCTTTCAACAGGTTTTTCTCCAAATGAAGTGATAAGATAAAATCTTATCTCTTTCTTTCTTTAAATACTCTCACAATGGCGGTGGAGATTATTTTAATTATTATAAAACTCATAGGCGGTGAATCATTTATCCAATAGAAATATCTTTGGATAGTGAGTTTATTTATTATAAAAACCCACGGTTTTCTTAACCATGAAGGTTGAGTTTTAATATATATTATTTTCATATAATATCTTATCACATGTATTCATAAATCTCATGTATGAATCACAAAACTCATGTATGCATCATGTCTTTGCACATATACCATCCATGCATTAGAATATCATGCATGTTAATCACATATTTCACGTATTAAACACATAAGGTTACCTTGACCCAGGTTTGTAGAAAACCCGGTTATAACAGGGACGGACCTAGACTGTTATGTGGTGACATGTGCCACCGTTTCTTTCACCCTTTGCAGTGTAAAAAGCTATAGGGTCGTGAAAAGTGTCACCGTATCAGTTTGTTGTGTGCCAGCATATATATATATTTTGGAACTACAATGAGGATATTTATTTTCCCTCGGTAGAGTTGGTTTGCAAGACTTTTCTTCCACCCCAGACCCGAGTTTGAGTTCTGTTAGCGTAATTTTCTTAGTTTTTAGCTTTTGATTTCATATTTATTATGTTTCTGAATTTTTTTGCAATAAAAGATTTGAACACAAGACCTCACATATGAAAAGTAACGAACTAAACCAAGAGATTGATGATGATTTTTGTGAAAAAAAATATTTCAATGTGTTTCTCATAGTCAAATGGTGTCGTCACTTGAAAAAACTTCTGGGTCCATCCCTTTAAGCGTTATCGATAAAATTCAACACTATTACTTATTGGGTAAGATTTTAGTCTACTAAAAACCGTATAGTACGGAACAATTAACCCAGTAAGAATCATCGCCCTTACTTACAGGGTTAGACTCCTGGTTCTTGTCTTTGCCTTTACCGGGTAAACTTTTTGGTCCTTGTCATACTCATCGGGTAAGGTAATATGACTTGGTACGCGCTTATTTGAGTATGTGTTTGGTAAACAACCTGTAAATATACAGTTAGAAACTATAAATTGATGACCGATCACTAAATTTATATATTGAGATATTAACTAACTGATATATTAACAGGGGACGTTCTTTTGAAAACTTTCTAAATCGTGAGATCTTTAACAAACTTTATGATAACAGATGTATGGAATATTGACGTTTTTATGTTAACGATATCGACAAATATCTTAAAACGTTATGAAATTATTACAAGTATAATTAATTTGTCATTCTAAATGTTTAAGTTTCAAAACAATTTTTTTTAAAAATAAATCAAATTTTAAAAATAATAATTAGGTTTTATAACAACATTTTTATTTATTTATTTATTTAAAACAATTTTTATGCTCTAACAACACATATACAGTTGTTTAGACCACTTCAACAGGTTATTCAAAATATAAATTTTGGGTATACAGATTCTTTAAAACCATCTTTGTTTTTTTAATTAACCTGTATATCCAACCTGCTATGCGAGCCAACTAATCTCAGGGCGACCACCTGCTTTGCAGATAGTCCGGAGTCATCGCATTTGAACTTCCGTGACCACAAAAGAATTTTTATTCCTCATTGGATTTGAACCTGGGACCTCTAGGTACTTTTGACATTTGGAGTCAAACTCAAACCAATCAGGCACCATCCTAAACCATCTTTAAAATGGAGAAAATATGGAAAGAGAAGGTGAAATTATATGAATTTGTATTATTTTCCAGATATGATTATTGACGACAGATAAATTATTATTTTTATCAATGAGAATCGTTGAAGTTAAATGTATAGACAGATAAAAATAATATTTTGTTAAATATATTGAATATTTTAATAATATGATTTATACTGTAATCTCTAAAATAAATAAGATGGACATAAATTTTATTTGAATATTTTGACTTTTGATTTTTTGATGGTATGTCACCCTAAGTAAGCTTTAATCATTTGTGCTTTATAAATTTTTGTGTTTTTTTGTGATTATTATTTTTTATTTTATTATTAATTAAATAAAATTTTAATTAATATATATTATTTATTTAATTATATTATATTTTAATTAATATAAATTATTAATA